CTTTGAGTTACCATTGTCTTATTATCGCTGATGCACATGCAGGGGCTTGGTGGAGACGGCGAGCGTGGTGCGGGACTTGAGGGCGTTGGCCGCCGATTCGGCGCCGGTCTCGATGACCGGGTACGCGTCGCAGTAGGCCGCGCTGCAGAAGCTGCGGCAAAACGTCAGAGGTGCGTGTGGTCCCAAGCCACTACCTTCTGCATCGTCGCCTCGCTATCGATGGAGCAATCCTGTGATGGAACGTGGCAGTGCTCATGTTGGACGGAAGCGGTTGCGTCAGCGCCAAAGGCTCGAGAGCCGGCCAGAACGTCGCCAAAGCCATCGGGGAATGCTCTTGCCCGCCGCACACGCTGAGCGACGTGACCTTGGCACCATCGAGTCGTCGGAGGACGTCGACCGTGCTCGGTGCCATTCACGTCTCAATCGGTGCAAGCCAGCGCACGCAGCAAGTCGTCGCCATCCGTAAGGATGGAAAGCGACATGAGCCCACGCGACGTGGCGATGGCCTCTGCCAAGCAGTCATTGCAGCGCACAGTAGTGCAGCAGAGCTCGAGCACCTTGGCGTAGGCGTCTGAAGCCATTCGACGAGACGACCGGCGTCCAACTCTTGGTCTGTGGTCACTTGAAGCGAGTGGAGACGAAGGTGCGCTGGCGTCGTCACAGCATCAATGCTGGCGCGGGGACCTCGCGATCAGCAAAGTCGGCAAAGTCCGTCGTCTCTGTCGCTCGATTGAAAAAGAAAAACTCGACGGCCTTTTTGTCTTTTTGAGAGCACCAACAAACGCGCCGTGGAGGCATCGCTGCTCCATTGCAACTCGAGCTGCGGCACGAGCCCTACCGCGTCGATGACCTCGCACGGCGTCCCAGAAGCCGTTGCGGCGTCCCCGAAGCAGTTGCGGCGTCGTCAAATCAGATACAAGATACGTGGCTTCTTCGTTCGCAAGTTGTTCTATCTGATGCCAAACTATATCGCAACGAGTTCATGGCTATGGCGCTGGACGAGCGACCAACGGATCGAGCAACCCAGATACTGAGCCTTGCCATGTACATACGTCTTCGCCACCCACGCACTCCAACGACCGTCGCCATAAATCTGTAGCGTCGATAGAACAGTCTCGAATCGTCATTTGTACGCGCAAACGACTACCGCTATGAATCTAATTGGTGACGAACAAAGAAGAAAGAATCGCGCTGTTTTGGCTTCCCGAAGCCCACTGAGGTCCAGCTGCGCAAAGCTCATCAATTTGGGTGCCAGCCGGATGGGTGCAAGGCGACGACGTGCGGCGTCCATGCGACGCATCGACAACTGGGAGGTTTCTGGTGCGCTTGGTGCCACACATTGGTAAAATCCAGCACTGGATTTCCCGTCACTGGATTTTTACGCACGCTGATTGGCGGAACGACTGCGCGCCTTTCTTTCGGGCATTACACGCGGGTGGCTGCTAGCACGTTCAAGGTTGAAGCTGCGACGATGGGTGCGTTCCTTATATTCCGCTGCTCCCTTCATTTTCCAATTTGCCAAGAGCAGCAACATGGTGCGTCTGGTCCCTTCGCTCGTCGCCGCCGCGCTCGCCCTTGTCGCCGCCGAAGTGCCTGTCAACGTCATGCTCCCGCTCGACACGGTCGTTTTGGACGCGAAGGCGTGCAGCAGCACCCGGCTCAAGAATGCAACGGCGCTGGGCCTGCAATTTGAAAAGCTCAAGGCGAGCGGCGCCACCGGTGTCATGGCCGACTGCTGGTGGGGCCTCGTCGAAGGTGCGGGCCCGCGCCAGTACGACTTTGCTGCGTACGCGGACCTCGCTCGGCTCGCCAAGGCGTCCAACCTCACGATTCAGATGGTCATGTCCTTCCACCAGTGCGGCGGCAACGTCGGCGACGAGTGCGACATCCCGATCCCGCGCCACTGGTTCACCAAGGACGACGTGTGGTACACAACGCAGGCCGGCTTGATCACGAAGGAGTACATCTCGCTCTGGGCCGACGCGACGCCGCTCGACAAGTTTGGCCGCACGCCGCTGCAGATGTACAGCGAGTTCCTCGCAGCCTTCAAGACGCACGTCGTCGACGCATACCCTGGTGTCGTCTCGGAGGTCCAGATCGGCGGCGGCCCCGCGGGCGAGCTCCGGTACCCGTCGTACCAGCTCCAGGAGAACCGGTGGAGCTACTGCGGCGTCGGCGAATTTACGAGCTACGACACGTACGCAAACGCGAGCATCGTGGCGCACGCCGCGTCGACAGGCCACGCGCTTTGGGCCACGCGCCCGGGTCCGAGTAACGCCGGCAACTTCAACTGCCTTCCGAGCGAGAACGGCCAGTGCCCTTTCTTTGCGAACGGCGCCGACAACTTTGCGAGTCCGTACGGCCAGTTCTACCTCGACTGGTACAGCGGGTCGCTGCTGCAGCACGGACGCGACCTCACAAAGCTCGGGCGCGACGTCTTTCCCGCGCCGTTTGAGCTCTCGGTCAAGGTCTCGGGCATCCACTGGTGGTACGACTCGCCGCACCACGGCGCGGAGCTCACGGCCGGGTACCAAAACACCAACAACAAGAACGCGTACTACGACATTGCTTCGATGCTCAAGGAGCACGACGTGCGCTTCTGCTTTACGTGCATGGAGATGAACGACAACTACGACGACAACGACAAGTGCCGGTCGCGCCCCGGGAAGCTCGTGGGCCAGGCCCGCGACGCCGTCACGGCGCTCGGCCTGAGCTTGAAGCATAGCTTTGCGGGCGAGAACGCGCTTCCGATTGGCGGCAACGACCAAATCACGTCGATCGCGGGCCACATCGCCGGCGCCGCGTCGTTTACTTTCTTGCGGCTCACCGACACGTTTGACTTTGACTACTTGGGTCGCCTCGTGCAGCGCTTGAAGACAGTGTAAAATTATCCTGTACCCAAACCTGGATATAAAAAAGTGGTGTTGTATACTCATGGTACTGTTGGTCGCCTTCAATTTAAGAATCCAGCGGGCGCACGCGACGTTACAGAGTCCGCAGGTGGGGCAGGCCACCGCGTCGTCGACTTTTTTTGGGGCACGCAGGATCAAGGCTTCATACAAACGCTTCAACATTCCATCTATCCATTTATCTATCCACTTCTAATCCATTTATCCATCTATCTATCTATCTATCTATCTATCTATCTATCTATCTATCTATCTATCTATCTATCTATCTATCTCGTCGTGGACGCCTTGACTAGATTCGGAGAGATTCTGTGCAAGACGAGGCTCGAATTGTCAGGACACAACATGCAAATGCGAAATGCAAGCAAGACCGCAGTGCATGCCAGCAAGGAACGTGGATATATTTACGTAATTATGTCCCTGGATGCCAGTGAGCTAATAGAGCATACATATCGCCATTTGAATCGTTCGCTCAAGGAGATGGACGACGCGGCTGTAGATTCAGTCGCCTGTCGCTCGTCCACAAGTACAAAGGCACGAGCAGCGCGAATGGGCGGGCGGCCACGCTGCAGCTCTTCCCAAGCCTTCGCGCACATTGCAGCTTTCGACGCTTATTGCTTGTATTCGTACAGAGCGTATTTGGACGCTGACGCTGAAGCGTCGTTGCATGTGTCTTCAACAGCACCCGACCGCCAAGTCCTCGCCTTCAAGTGAGAGGCGAGGACCGACGCAGCTACACTATAAATGGGCAGCGTCCCGCCGACGACACTGGATCAACCGCGACAGACGCAACGCAGCCGCGGTTGGCGCCACGAAGTGACCGCAAGTGACTCACACTCAAACCGGTTGGTATGCAAAGTCGTACGTACACCCCCGACCTACCGGTTCATCTTTCTATTTGTATGCAATGTACGATGTACGACGCGTATCGTACGTACAGGGCCCACATGGTTGCAGTACACACTTGAGGTTGGGATGCGCCAAGCCCTCCATTGGCTGGTGGCGGTCCCCATAAGTGCGCATGGGCAACCGCGGCGACTTCCACCCGCCGCCCAGCAGGCCATCGCGATGGCTCTGGCCGTCCATGGACCTCAGTGGCGCTTCCTTCGCATGCTCGCCTGGGCGACTGCCTACATGCGTCGCACCCAAGCAACTGGGCTAGCTACTCGACGGCAGCGATCGCCAATTTCTGGGCTGGACACGCATCGTGGCCGAGAATGATGTTGCAAGCACGGCTGGCACGTGCTCGGCAACGCGAAGAACCTAGAAGTCGATGCGTGGGCATGCGACCTTATGGCCTCATCCGACTCGCCTGCTTGTGGTGGCAATGGCATGGCCCATGGCCGCAGAGGCTGCGACCTGGCAGGCGCTCGTCGCTCGTGCAGTGTTGAGCGTGGCAAGTCGCCAGGTCGCAGGTATGATCGGCGACGCTGCTGTTCAGCGAAATAATTTGTGGGTCTTTGTATTAAATACATTGTATTTTTATTGCGCTTGAACCCGGCTATCGTATGGTACGCGGTAGCACCACGTGGTTTGGGACATTAAAATAATATTCGCCTCATCACATTAAAAACGGTCAAACCCGGTAAAGTGCGCAGTCGCACTTGAACGGGCTCCACCAATGAAGGGCAGATGCATTTTGGAATTTCGGCCGTTCTGACGAGGTAGACATGCATGGCGATCCTCGGCGGACGATGCTAAGCAGATGCGACGATCATGGTAGATGTATCGCTTCCGCACCTCTGCCAAGCCCGTGCTGAAGCCGCTCATGGCGCGCCTGCAGACGACGGCGACCCCCGAGAAGCTCTTTGATAAGATCTTGATCGCGAACCGCGGCGAGATCGCTTGCCGCGTCATCAAGACCGCTCGCCGCCTGGGCATCAAGACCGTCGCCGTTTATTCGGAGCCTGATGTCAACTCGGTTGCCGTGCGCATGGCCGACGAAGCCATTTGCGTCGGGTACGTCATTCGACGCACTACGTGTGGTGCTCATGCGATGGTACTAGCCCGGCCAAGTCGGCGTCGAGCTACTTGAACATTGAGCGCATCATGGAGGCGGTCAAGCAGACGGGCGCGCAGGCCGTGCACCCGGGCTATGGCTTCTTGTCCGAAAACAAGCTCTTCTGCGAAGCGCTGGATGAAGCCGGTGTCACCTTCATTGGCCCTGGCTTCCACGCCATTGAAGCCATGGGTGACAAGATCGAGTCCAAGCAGATCGCGATTGACGCTGGCGTAAGGGACCTTTTGTCTGCGTCTTGCGCTCAGTCGTCGTGCGTAGGTCAACACGATCCCGGGTTTCCAAGGCGTCATCCAGGACGAAACCGAAGCTGTCAAGGTCGCCAACGACATTGGCTACCCCGGTACTTGCGTCCGCCATACGCATCATCCTATTTTCACCCTATCATAGTCATGGTCAAGGCCAGTGCCGGTGGCGGTGGCAAGGGCATGCGCGTGGCGTACAACGACGCCGAAGTCCGCGAAGGCTACCGGTACACGCCGACGATCTCCTCGCTGAACGTCGAGCTCACCTCCTCGTGTCTAGTCTCTCGAAGGAAGAAGCCGCCAACTCGTTCGGCGACGACCGCATGTTCATCGAAAAGTTCATTGAGGACCCGCGCCACATTGAGATCCAGCTGCTCGCGGACAAGCACGGCAACTTTGTCGCGTTCCCGGAGCGCGAGTGCTCGATCCAGCGCCGCAACCAAAAGGTCCTCCTCGATTCAATAATCCAGTGTATATATTCTGTCTCTAGGTCATCGAAGAAGCCCCGTCGATGCTGCTGGACGACGCGACGCGCCTCGCTATGGGGTAGCCTCGACTCTCAGTTGCAAATGTAGCGACTAAGATCTATGTAGTGAGCAAGCCATCATGCTCGCCAAGAAGGTCGGCTACACGTCGGCGGGTACCGTCGAGTTCCTCTGCGACAAGCACAAGAACTTTTACTTTTTGGAAATGAACACGCGCCTCCAGGTAGGCGTCTCGACTTGATTTCCATCGACTAACTAACGTTGTACTAGGTCGAGCACCCGGTGACGGAGCTCATCACTAAGGTCGACTTGGTCGAGCAAATGCTTCGCATTGCTGCGGGCCACCGCCTCCCCGAGTGGATGTCGGCCGGGCCGCTCAAGATCCACGGTACGACTCGATACATTGATAGGTTCAAGCTCATCGTGAATACGTAGGCTGGGCGATGGAGTCGCGCATGTACGCCGAGGACCCGCTGCGTGGGTTCCTTCCGTCGATCGGCCGCCTCCTTAAGTACAGCGAGCCGCACCACTTGCCCGGCGTCCGCGTCGACTCGGGTGTGACGGAAGGCAGCGACATTAGCATGCACTACGACCCGATGATCTCCAAGCTCATTACGCACGGCAAGGACCGCAAGGAGTGCTTGGAGCGCATGAAGTTTGCGCTCGACCACTACGTCATCCGAGGCCCGGGCCACAACGCGGCGTTCCTCCAGGACGTCTACCGCCACCCGCGCTTCGAGGCCGGCACCATCACGACCAAGTTCATCGCGGAAGAGTACCCCGACGGCTTCCACGGCGTCCAGCTCACGCCGCCCCAGAAGCGCGAGATCATTGTCGCGGGCGCCGCCATGCACATCAAGGCGCTCCAGGGTACACTCCCTCTCTGCGTATGTATTGTATCTCACCAAGCATACAATAGCGTCCCAGGCGCCGCTGGCCGCGACCAAGCCCAAGGTCTTGAAGACGCTGCCGGTCAGCGCCAACTGCGAACTCCGCCACGTCACGTCCGCGTCCAAGGGTATTCCCTTCTTGCATGGTACACACGCTCACGTTTCGATCAGTGCCCCGCTTCCAGGTCCGTCTTTTGACGCCGACCGCGTCTGTTCCGTCGGCCAAGGAGCTGGCGGCGCACATTCCCCAGTCATCGGGTACACGGTTGAATCGAAAGGGAGGGGCAACTCACTCTTTGCGTAGCGTTCGAGCTCTACGTGAGCGCGGACGGCCCGTTTGGCGACGCGACGCTCCTCAAGCTCGTGGAGCTCGAAGTCTCGGAAGACCACTTCGTCCTCTGCGCGTGGCTCGACGGTGCGATTTTGTGTTTGACTGAAACTCAAACTCAACTGTGATTAGGCGACTTTGTCGTGCTCAGCGACATTGAGTGGCCGATCAACGCGCCGCTCTTCACGGCCGAAATCTCGGACAAGGCGCGCGCGCTCCAGGTGCTGCAGGTGCTCCCCGAGGGCTTCCGCGTCCAGCACCACGGCGCGATCCACGATGTCGTCGTGCGCACGCCGAATGAGCACGCGCTGGCGTCGCACATGAAGCCCAAGCCCAAGGTCGATCTCTCGCGCTTTGTACAGTGCCCGATGCCCGGCCTCCTTGTCTCCGTGGCCGTCCAGGCCGGCGACGAAGTGCAGCTGGGCCAGGAAGTCGCGGTCGTCGAAGCCATGAAGATGCAAAACGTCATCCGCGCCGCCAAGAAGGGTACGTACCTCGTGCTTCTCAAGCAGAGTTGGCAGTGGCTTGTAGGTGTCATCAAGTCGGTGTCGCACCAAGCCGGCGCGTCGCTCAAGGTCGACGACATCATCATGGAGTTTGAGTAGAAGAGAAGCATGGGCTGCGTGTTATAACAGGACGAAACACTTCCGTCGTACTTTGTTATGCGCACTAGCACTCGGCGAGTGGTTCGACCCCAAGTGCTACCACCCTAATAACACCGGGTCCAACATCGAGCAATGCAGGCAGGATACTGTAGAACAAATCCACCGAGATGCATCTGGACAGCCAAATCCAAATCGGACAGGAAGCGATTCGGACTGATGGAGGAAGCATTGTGGCTCGAGCATTGACCAGATCTGCAGTTGGACCAGATCCTAGCTGGGACCCAAGCTTGCACATATCAAGTTGGTTTAGCTTTGGCGCTGGATCTGCGACTTGATTTGAAGCCTCCGTCGCAACGCTTCCGCCAATCACAACGCGCCATTTCAAATCCCCATAAATCTGACCAATCACTGGCGTCCCTTTCTTCGAAAAACGATCCAGCCTGAATGATGGTCACCAACATCCTTGGTCTCTCCACGGTCGAAGCAGTTCCGAATTCGCCACCAACCAGCCAGCATGTCGCCGCTTCCTCTGTCCAAGGCCCTCAGCGTCTCGTCGGCTGCCGAGCACAAGCAGATCGCGTCTGCCGAGACGGCCGCGACGACCTTTGTCAACTGCCACATCGTGGCACCGCCCTGCGAAGAGAGCGACCGCAAGCCCATCGACTTGGTCGTCGTGCTCGACCGCTCGGGCAGCATGAGCGGCTCCAAGCTCGACTTGTGCAAGCAGACGCTCGACTTCCTCGCGCACGAGCTCTCGCCCCACGACCGCGTCTCGCTCGTGACCTACGACACGTACGTGACGACGAACCTGCGCCTGACCAAGATGACGCCGGCCGGAAAGGCGCTCCTCGCGTCCAAGGTCCAGGGCGTCCACGCCGGCTCGTGCACCAACCTCAGCGGCGGTCTCCTTGCGGGCCTTGAAGAAGTCCAGTCGTCGTCGCGGCCCGATTCAGGCGAGCCCAACCCGGTGCAGTCGGTCTTGCTGCTCACGGACGGCCTTGCCAACGCCGGCATCTCGTCGCGGAGCGGCCTCGTCGAGCTCCTCGAAGGCGTCTTGTCCAAGA